GACTCAAGGTGATCCAGGCAATCCGGGCGGTTTGGGTGCTCCGGTAGCCCCAATGTTAATGCGGCCCTAGCTGTGCCCTAGGTGGCTGCATAGTTTGCCTAGTGGCAGCACCAGCCCTGATTGAAAAGTACTACTTCTGACCAATCGGACACTCAGAATAATCTCACAGAAAATCCATCTCCAATAATATAGCACTGCTCCTTTTCAGAATAACTAAAATGGTTCTTCTATGTGAGCATGTTTACAGTAAAGCAGAGGAAATAAATTGCCCCTGCAATGTATGCATGTGAGATAGGGACCTTAGATTGTAAACTCCTTGAGGGCAGGAAGTGATGTGAATGTGCAACTATGTAAAGCGCTGTGTAATATGTCAGTGCTATATAAAACACCTGTAATAAGTAAATAAAATTGAAACAAATGATATGAACAACTGCAGATCTCTTCAATAAAGAAAACAGAAAATACATGTTATTAGTTTATTAGCAGTAGTTTTACTAACGGTAATTATGCAGCAAATTTATCTCAGTCTATGAATTCCCTGACATGTATAATTTTGCAGCTTGATTTCTGGAAACCTAAATCATCTCATGATATTATCCCAAAATCCAGTGTGTACTTTCGTGCTAATGCAGAACATTCAGAAGCCATTGTGAGTCTATTAAACAAGAAAGGCATTAAATACAAGTAAGTGTTTTATTATATTTTTGATCAATGTGGTATGTCAACAGTCTAAGTATTATTTGTGTCCCTTTTCATATATTAGAAATACAAGACAAGAGTCTTATGATATTCTGCTAATACACGCATGTGCCATTATTCATGCCTTGACAATGATGTTTATGCATTCAGATTGGTTCAGTTTGTCATATTGTTATTTCATTATAAGGGTTGTTATCAATAACTTACAAGAAGCTGTTGAAAACCAGTTTAGGAAACAAGGTAAATATAAGAGGGGCTTGCCACGGTACCATGAATGGAAAGAGGTGAGTAACGTACAAATTCTTCTATATTTTATTACAGAGATTAAGCCAACACAATAACTAAGATTTCACTTATTTCATTAGATTGCAGTCTGGGCTTATTCCATTTCATTAAATCACCCAAATTTGGCCTCCTTGGTTACAATTGGACACACATTTGAGGGAAATCCCATGCATGTTTTAAAGGTAGAATTTTCTGTTACATTTTTTCGCACTTTTGGATAAGAAATTTAATTTGTATGGTATGTTATTATATTATTTTCAGGCAAATCAAAATACTGCATATGATAAAAATCATGACTGCATACTGCATATGAAAATGTAATATTTACATACCAATTTAGCATGTGATGCTTTTCAGACAATTTTTAACTACCTTATTGGTTAAAAATGTCAGAATGACTCACTCCCCCTCCCGCCCACACAAACACACACAGATATACACATCCCTGCCTGCCCAGTTCCAGAGGCGGCTCTTTAATTAGGCTGTCGCCTTAGGCCTTGAGCTCCCGAGGGCCTCACGGCCGCCTAGTTTGGCTTGTCAGAACGGCAGCCAGGTAGCGTTGTGAGCTCTCAGCCCTGTGGCTGTCAAACTGAGACTCTGTGGGGTCTCATCAGGACACTTGAGGGGTCTCACCAGCACCAAGGCTATGTGAGGTCTCACCAACCCTGGTGAGACCCCACAGAGCCCTGGAGAGACCTGTAGGGGTGTGTAGGGTCTCACCAGCACCAAGGCTATGTGAGGTCTCACCAACCCTGGTGAGACCCCACAGAGCCCTGGTTTAACCAGGGCTCTGTGGGGTCTCCCCAGGGATCTGAGGGGTCTAACCATGGTGGTGATACCCTACATAGCCCTGGCGAGACCCTACAGAGCCCTGGCAAAACTCTACAGAGCACTGATGAGACCCTGTGGAGCCCTGATGAGATCCTCCAGAGACCCTCATTTATTCAGGGCTCTTTGGGGTCTCACAGGGCTCTGTGGGGTCTAACCAGGCTGGTGAGACCCCACATAGCCCTGGTGCTGGTGAGACCCTACAGTTTTAACCAGGGCTCTTTGGTGTCTCACCAGGGCTCTTTGGTATGGAGAGACCCCACAGAGCCCTAGTGAGACCCCACAGAGCCCTGATTAAATCAGGGCTTTGGAGGGTCTCACCAAGACTGGTGAGACCCCCACAGAGCCCTGGTGAGACCCCACAGAGCCCTTGTTTAACCAGGGCTCTAAGGGGTCTCACCAGGGCACTGAGGGGTCTAACCAGGCTGGTGAAACTGCACAGAGCCCTGGTAAAACCCTACAGGCCTGAGTGGGGCCTCATGTTTCACCTAAGGCCTCGCAAACTCTAGAGCCGCCTCTGCCTAGTTCAGACAGGACAATATAGCTTTCAAACAGAGAGAGAGCTTGAGGGCAAACAGCTTCCGCTGTGTTATCTCCTTTCAAAAACTATAGTGCTCATTAAATCCTGTGGCATGGGTTGACCATGTTGTACTAGTTGATTTTTTAAAACAAACAATTTATATCCAGTACAGTAAAAAGGGTGTCAACAGCAGATTAAAAAGTATAAAATAGAAAATAAAAATAAAGTATAAAATAGAAAATGGACCGTTTAAATCAGTGGTAGTTAATTTACTCGATATAGGTCCCCTCAAGTGCACACTTGACATCACAAAAGGGACACACTAATATTCAGTAAATCTAATACTACAGAACACTCTCAGGAACTGCAGAAATGCAACAGGAGATTGTCAGGGGCTGTGAACATGCTGTAGAACAGGGGTGGCAAACACAAGGCCCGCGGGCCGAATCCGGCCCGCCGGACCTTGTAATGTGGCCCGCACAGCAGCCAGGGCCGGTCCGCTAGACAACCCCAGTTCGTGCCGCCCCTATATATAGTACAGGGGTTGTATTTTTAGTGTGTGTGTGTGGGGGGGGAGCTTGGGGAGTAGAAGTGTATTAGGCTGCGTCAGGAACTTGCATTTTCCTGCAACAGAAATCCCTAAATTGGCGTTTTACAAATGGCAGCTGTCACCTAAGTTAATGATCAGGTGACAGAAGTTGCATGTAAACGCCTGCACACCGCATGTAAAGATACATGATATGTTTACATTCCGCTAGGAATCAATCACTCTCCCTGGACGCATGTAATCATATCACGTATCATTACATGCGGTGTGCATGCGTTTACATGGAGCTGCTGTCACCTGATCATTAACTTGACTAGGTGACAGCTGTCACTTGAAAACGCCAGATTAGGGATTTCTGCTGCAGTCTGAGCAGTCTCCAATAAAGTTTCTTGTGGATGTTTTCAAGGCTAGTTATTACTTAAATTATTATTAAAACCAGTAGCAACTGAATGCAGAGGCAACTATTTATGATAATAAAGAGTAGATGCATAGTCCTATACAACAGGCCCTTTGAGGGTAACCATACTGCTGATGCGGCCCCCGATGAATTTGAGTTTGCCACCCCTACTGTAGAAGTTGTAGGAGACTAGATATGTGTTTTAAGAGACAATCAGACTGGAGACTTTGCATGAAGATCAGTGCTATCACAGCCCCTTTACAAATTAATTATTAACCATTTGTACAGAGCCCTTAAAATTACTTGTGCCACATTTGATATTTCTATCAGCAAGCAATTTTATAAAAGATCAGAGGAAAAAACATGGAGAAAAGAGTGCACACCTTTCACTGATTTTTGTGGACAACACAGAAAAAGTAAAATAGTGTGAAAGGAAAAAAACTACACCATTTAACGACTGAAAAGCCAGTCTAAAGAATATTTTTCCTTTACTTGTATGAGTGAGCACCTAGGTGTGGAAAGCACAGACTGCAGTATGCAAGGTTAATGAGGGCCACAAAATAAGTGCCAAAGGGCCATGTGCAGCTTCCGAGCATTTTTGGTACTGTGAAGAAAAGCAAGTGTAATTATTAATACAAGCGTTCCTTAGAGGACATCTAATAACTCAACAATTCATGTGGTTTTGGAAGTATGATGAGGGCATTGTGTGTGTAAAATGATACCTACCGCACTTGCTCTAAATATAAGGCTGTATAGATATTATCTTACACACAGTCAGCAAATTAGAAGTCCATATTTAGGATGGAAATCATATATAGTGGGGAATCTGATTTTCTAAAACTGTGAACTTCTTGTCCAGTAATCCCAAATAATTGTACTGCATTCTGTCTTTTCCTAGCATTGTTTAGCCTACATGTTCTGTGCTGTAACAAAAAGCAATACACTGCAACACCACAGTATAGATTTCGCCTATGGTTCTGATTTGGTGCATTTTAGCAGAATTTCTGAACAATGCATTCTAATGTAGAATTAATGGCATGATCCAATTTATAAGGACATCAGCTATGAAATCATCCTTCTGTACATTTAAAGTGACACTAAAGTCATGAGTTAAACCGTAAAAATGCATGCATGCACCCTATTAAAAAAAATGTATCTTGTGTGTATCACTCGGCTGTAGATCATCAAATCATCTCTGAATTGGTGCCGACACTGTCCTTCCTTCTGGAGGGTGGCTACTTTTGCTCCCCATGGTCCCTGTGTGTATTGTAAAGTAGCCAGCGCGCCAAGCTCACTCCTCCCGATGGGCTACAATCTCAATACAAATGAGTAAACTAGACATGAGATTGTAGTCCATCACAGGAGTGAGCTTGGAGCGGTGGCTACTTTACAACACAGGGACCATGGGGAACAAAAGTAGCCGCCCTCCAGAAGGAAGGACAGTGTCGGCATCAATTAAGATGATTTGAGGCTCTACAGCCAAGTGATACACAAATAAGATAAAAACATTTGTAATAGTTAAGATACTTAAATGAATTTTTACGGTTCAACTCCTGAATTTAGTATCACTTTAATGTCATGGCAAGAGCTGCTACACTAGAATTCCCATTCTAGTGGGAACATTTTAAATGGCAATAATAGCTAAAAGGAAGTAGACTAAAACCATGTAATATCATGTTTCTTTTTTTAAGATTGGAAACCCAAAATCAGCCAAAAATTCAGTGTTTCTGGAGTGTGGAATTCATGCTAGAGAATGGATTAGTCCAGCTTTCTGCCAGTGGTTTGTGAATGAGGTCATTGTTATTTAAAAATTGTATCTATGCATTTTATTTTGAATTCAAAAATGTTTTGGAAAAGCATTAAAATGCATGTGGTTGGTTTTAAAGCTAACTTCCAGCAAATGTTTAAATATACAACTGAAATACTTATCTGGCAAAAGTCTTAAAGACTCTGTTGGGCCTTTCTTGGCCAGATAAGTAGCCTCATTTTTCTCTACTACAGCTCAGCAATCCAATTGGGTTATGGACCTGCCTGATGCTTGTTAAACTGAACAATGAAGTATTATCATGCTGACGAGGTTATCACAGGGCTGCTTCCGCCTCTCTCTGCAAAGCAGGGAATTACAGAAACTAATATAAAACATTTGCTGGTACTTATGCTAGCTAAATAAGGTAAGAAAACCTTCTGCACTTAGGATTTAGGTGAACCCAATTGAGCTGCTAACATGCCATATGACTTTCTCACCACTATTGACTACTATTGATTTACATAAACAGTTTAGTACTATTCACTCTAATTCTTTTTGTAATCTTTAAATCTTGTGCTAATGTAAAGTGCTTGGTGTGCCACTCCTTACTGCTCCCTACTTATCTAATAAACTCAATATATAAAACAATTATCCATGTGCAATAACTTTTCACTATACAGTGCTATGTGATAAATATCCACAATCTAGCAATATAAATACATATATGAATGTGTCAATTCTTATTCCACCATGTCAAAAAGTCCACAATAACCACAGTTCTATATTAGTTCTTATTATACTGTGTATCTTGTGTGCTTTGATTTCCCCAACACAATTCTATGGTGCACTTTAGTTTTAAATATTCACATCAAACAGCACCTGACTGCTCAATGACCTTTGTGTGCCTATGGGGCTTATGCTAGCTGCATTAAAAAAATACATTCTAGAATTTTCAAAGAATGTACAATTTCAGCCATAGGCATGATACAATGTTACTCGTTTAAAGCTAAACTCCAGGTATAGAAATGTATATATACTTACATTGGTCCAGCTTGGTGCAATGTAAGTATATATAAATTATCCCTGGCAGGGATCCTGTAAAACACTGTAACAGCCACTACAGTGTTTTACATTGGGTACACATGGTTCTGTGGGTGCTGCTGTTGGCACCCTTTTGCCCAGCAACCCTCATTCAGCTGATTGAAGGAGCCGTTTAGAAATCCTTGGCCAAATTAAGCTAGCAGCCAATCAGCTGCTAGCTCCGTTCAGGTATTCTAATAGCGGCCACTGTCATAATATAATGCAAACAGCAGGGGATTTGTCCATCAATACTCGTAAACGTTGGAGGAATCTGGATATACAATAAATAAGCAGTCACCCGCACACCAAGGTCCAACATGTCAAATGCCTTTATTCAGACGTCAAACATACAAGGTAGCACTAGTGGATAGCTATCCACTAGTGCTACCACGTGTGTTTGGCATCTGAATAAAGGTATTTAACATGTTGGACCTTGGTGTGCGGGTGACTACTTTACTATTTACTATTGTATTGGGTTTCCGGTCTGGACTGCAGTGGGAAATAAAACTTTTGATGGAGGAATCTGTTCTATTTTTTTGTTCAGCCCGCAGGTTGAACGAAAAAAAATAGAATGTATATCCCACTTTACAGCAATCTTCCAGGTCCTGTTCAGCCGTTGTGCTGAGCGACTTCCTCTCTACCTTTAAAACACAGTGGGTCACTCAGTCGGCACAGTGGCAAATCAGGGAATGCCTAGTAATTTTCTCAATGATGTGACATTGTCTTGTCCATCAGATTTGGCTACTACAATGTTTTACAGGATCCCCTTGGCCCTGCCAGGGATAATTGTATATATCCCTATACAGTACCTACATTTTACCAAGCTGGACCAATGTAAGTAAATTTATATTTCTATAGTTGTAGTTCAGCTTTATAGAAAACAAATCATGAGTGAAGAGTGTAGGCTCTTACTGCTGACCTTTCTTAGTGAAAATACTAGTTTCCTGGTTGTCATGATAATTCTTTAGCTTCAGCACTTTCCAAGTGCCTGAACTACTAAAATTCTGACTTTTTTCTGACTTTCATTTACAGCATGAGTCTGTCACACAGACGTATTGAAGCCATAATAATCCAAGAAATTAGCATTCGTCCATTAGGAAGTCAGCAAATGCCAAAATATGTATGACAAATGTGTTACTGAAGTATTTGTGATATTTGCTTTGTTATGGTGTATAATATCAGTTTTCTGTGACTTTGCACTTTCTCGTATAAACTGCTGCAAACATTACTGATTACAAGCCTTATTTTGCTTTTCCCAATAGGCAGTTGAAACATATGGACAAAATGAAGTCATGACTAAGCTCTTGGATAATCTCATATTCCATGTTTTGCCTGTATTTAATATTGATGGTTATATTTTTACCTGGACAAGTGTAAGTATTTTGCTTTAGTGTCATAGCTGTGACCCTGTCATTAGATGGAGAAATTCAGAAAAAGGTCAGCCCCTAGCCTGTAGCACCATTTTTGCTGTGTAGAAGACCTATACTGGATGGAAAATGATCCACCTCCGACAGACTTCTGGAAATGTTGGATGCTTGGTTCCCCTCTGTCAGCTGTGGTTACATCCACTTGTCTAGGGTATGCCTTCTTATGTAAACATAGAACAGGTACATTGTGTTTACAAAAAACCCCAGAAGGCTTCTACAGAGAGAGAACAGAGTGGGATACAGCTGCTAAGTATCTGACTTCAACATGACCATAGGTGCCTTTGTTATAAATGTTGAGAATATATTGCTCAAGAGTGCCTGGGGAATGCTTGTTTTAACATTCATATACTGGTTGTGAATAATTTAATATGAATAGCCTGGCCACTGGTTAACCTATTAAAAACAGCCGTGTATTCTGCAAAACATTTTTACCAAATCCAGAATCGGTTTTGGAGAAAGAATCGTGCCCCAACTCCTGAGGAGAATTGTTTTGGCATTGACCTCAACAGGAAGTTCAATTCTTCATGGAAAAGTGAGTTATCTTTAATACAAGCAACTTACAACATTCTTTACATAGTGGGACACTGAGATATCAGCTTAAAGTGTCCCCCAACCAAAACTTTATTTTTAGTTTTGGATAGAGTTATGCAGTTTGTACTGCTGTGGGTGTCTCCACTGGGCAGATTTCTCTACTTTCTGTCCCAGTGATAACATTGTCAAGAAAGTGAGGGAAATCCACCAGTATGCACACAGACAGGAATAAAAAGCTGATGAGGTTCTAGCCTTTTCTATTTCTAAATAATTTTTATTGCTGGTACCTTTTCTTTGGAGAGATTTATGTCACTTCACTTGATAATACTTCCTCTTGGACAGTAAATGAGGAAAAATGTCCAGGGCTGACACAGCAATAGAAGGATGACAAGGTTCTAGTCTTTAATCAAACTACAAAAGCAGTGTTAATTGCCGTTAGTGCATTGATGTTGGACAGAAAGTCTTCTATTTATATAGATAAGGAGGAGATCATAACAAATGTTTGCTGCAGATATAGGTGGATCCCTATGCCAGATATTCCTCTCAGACTGTTTTGAGTTTTGTTTTTGCTGATGGGGGATAAATTGGCAAGAATAGGGTGATAGATATGATCTGTTTTACAGAACTATTATATATTGTGTGTATGGAATCTAGTGATCCCCCCCTACTACTTGACTATGCTAATGTGGAAGAATCTGAAATGCAATTGTATGCTATACTGATTGTGCATCATGTGCTATTTTATTGTTTTATTCTACTTTGGAAAATTAATAAAATACTTTGAAAGTTAATTGCCGTTACTGTTCTATCCAGTGTCACATACAGCAGATGAGTACTTGCAATAGAAGCCTCCAACAGTAATAGATAAATGTGTTTCTTTTAGACACCGGGTCCTATGGTAATCCATGCTTTCAAATCTATTCTGGAACTGGCCCAGAGTCTGCACCAGAGACCAAAGCAGTCAGTACATACATTCGTGAACATCTTTCCATTATGAAGGCGTACCTCAGTTTCCATTCATTCTCACAGTTGCTCATGTATCCCTACGCATATACAAAGGAATTAGCACCAGATCATGAGGAACTGGTAAGTTAATTTTCAAGCATCATAAATAATGAAAATATTGGGGTTGCTAAATTTGTTACAATAAATGGACAACCTATACCCAAATAGTTTAAAAGATATAGCTAACATTGCACAGCACAGTGGTTCAGGTCTCCAGCAGTCCAACATGCCCCCTGCACAGTGCTCAACTCAAAAGCCCTGTTTAGGGAGCATGAGCACTAATAATTGAAGCACTGTTCAGGGGCATATAGGACCACTGAAAACTGAGCTTCTGTATTCCTTTCTGTATAGTGCATTATTTTCAAAGGAATTGAGCTGGAGATGGAGATGTGTCGGAATCAATTGCAACTCCTATAGAGTCCTCAAGCAACCTCAGAACTACTCAAAAGCCCCCCTGATATGCTGGAACAACCATCCCAGGAGTGTGAAAACTATAAATGAACTATTATTAGCTATTTAATATCAACTAGTAAAATTGAAAAAACATTTAGCATTGAACTGCAGGCAAACAGAAAAATACAAGAATAAAATAGACATATACGAGCTGTTTTACCTGCCACAGGATATTTTTTCTTATTCAGTGAGCCATGGGACTTACACAATCCTGATAGCACGGCCAACCTGATGACCTGACTTTTCTATGCTACTGTTATGAAATACAACTAGGTCACCTCCCCTGTCCCAGTATGTGAATGGATAGTGAAGGAGCAGAAACAAAATGATGAGTTCATCTTTCTACTCTCTCCTATTGTCTGCAAGTTCCTTGTCTGCACATGTGTTTGTGGAACATCTGATTGGCTCCCAGTGCTGCCCCTCTTTCTTCCAGTCTGAAGATTTATGTACAGAGGATTGCAAGAGGCTGATACCCAGGAAAATTCTGGTACTTACAGTACCTGCATTTAAAATGTCTATATCTGGCGCTCAGGTTTAAGCATTAAAAAAAAACCTCCACACAATGTATATGAAGCTTGTATACTGAGTTATGAAAACTAGCTTTAGCTAATGAGATTCCTGCCTAGTCATCAGATTCTCCTGCTTCAGCCCTGTCTATAGAAGCCACTGGAGCCTAATAATGAGTATACAAACTTTACTAAGGCTTAGCCAAGGCTATTGCAACCCTCCCAAAAAGCCCCCTAGGCAACAAATGGCAAGGTGGGCTTCCAACTTACTGGCCAACAGGCTATTTTGCAGTAGCACTGCCCAACTATTTGCTTCATAAGGCAAGAGTGGGAGTATTATGGCTGCCATTTTGTTTTAGTGAAGACAGTTTATGTCAGAATCTGTTCACCAGTGTACATGAGACCTTAAAAAAGATAATTCATTACTTGCTATGTTAACAGGAAGAAGTAGTGTACTGTACTGACTACATCTCCTAATCAGCAAATGTTCCTGTTTCCTATTAGCTTTTCTTATGGTATATAACACTTTATGGAATTCTGTTATCGTGTGTCACGTGTTTACTTACAGGTGAAACTCGAATAATTAGAATATCGTGCAAAAGTAATTGCAGTAAGTGCTGCAAAAGGGGCCCAAACCAAGTACTGAGTACATATGCATGCTTGTACTTTTCAGAGGTCCGATAATTGTTCTATGTACAATCCTTGTTTTATTGATTGCATGTAATAATCTACTTTTTTGAGGTTGTGGATTTGGGGTTCTTGGGGTTTTCATGAGCTGTAAGCCATAACCATCACAATTATGACAAATCACGGCTTGAATGATCTTGCTTTGCATGTAATGAGTCTATCTCATATATTAGTTTCACCTTTTAAGTTGCATTAGTGAAATAAATGAACTTTGCACGATATTCTAATTATTCGAGTTTCACCTGTATTTGTTCCCTTCATGTTGCATTAAGTTCCATTCAATAAATGTTTTAGGAAACTGCATTTGTCTACTGCTTACATCTATAGTCAGTATTTAACTGCCACACTGTGGCAAGCATTGAAAGTACAGCTTATGTAAAACTTAATCAGCAGCATATATTCCGCCCAATATGTGTATCTTATTTCCTTGTTATTTTTTTAGTTATGTTTTATGTTTTCACAATTACCAATTTAAAATAGAAAATGATCATAACTTTAAATAGCTCATTGCTCATCTTGTGCCTGTTTACCTAAGGAGGAAAATGCTATGGGAAATTCATGACCTACAAATGTTAAATATAACCACAGCAGACCAATGTAACTGCAATCATTTACAGCAGCACTCCTCGTCATTGGAAATCTGCGGTTAGCCCTAAAATTGCTGAATGGGCTAAAGAAATGGCTCACATTTAGCGAATGGAACATTTGATGGCATAGATCCATGACAGGACCGAGCAATACTTTGCCACCGGGACCAACTGCTATATGAGCAGTTGCTATTGTTGGGCGGCTTCTACGCTCACTATCACTTTCTCGTTTCTACTCTGTTTGACCTTCCTCGCTTTTATTTGCCTTTTTTTCTTTTTGTTTCTCTACTTTTCCCCTTCCTCATACCCCTGCTCTCCTCAAAAGATTTTACAACTTTTTTTTAATGTTGATGAGAAAGGATTGATGCTTGGATGATGTCAGTTGGACGTTGAGTCATTTTATCTATTCTGGTCTCCTATCATATCTTGATCTTTGTAATGGAAGTACGAGGGCATTTTTTTCTAATAAACTTTTATTATGTAAAAAACAAATTACAGCAGCACAGAGGGTGCAGTACTGCATAATGAAATAAAGGTATATAAGGTATAGACTTCTCATTAGACTGTTAGGAATGTAATGATTAAGCTGTTGTAGTGTTAGCTAATGTTTTAGCAGGGCACATTTCTCTGTATTTGGATTATTGTTGGTCCCTGGTCTTTGTGTATGCTTAGGCCTCAATAAAAGTATGACATATTGGCATAATTAAATTCCAACCTCAGTAAAGGATTACGTAAGTACTGAACAATCCAGAATTATTATTTTTTTTGTTTCTATATCAAGGGCTAACACCTACTACCAGCAAGAGGATTTTGATCTTTGATAATGATTAGATAATATCTCTAGTTTGTAAAAGGAGGAATAGGAAAAAACATTGTTCAGGACCTTCACAAACCTCTACCAAGTACATTGTTAAAGTGAATCTGTGACCATTTTAAAGACATTCAAATATTTTCAGAATTCTAAAGAGCAGCAAAAATGTTTTAAAGCACACCCTCTTTGATCTATGTAGCTGCGGATACTATGGAGTAATTCATCATGAAATCCCGCAGCAGAAGCACTGCCGTCTGGTCTAAGTCAGCTAAACTCCCCCTCCCAGCAGTGATTTAGAAGCCTTCAAATCGAGCAGTTGCTAGGTGAGGAGTAAGCAGTGTGAGCTTATGATTCATTTATCTATAGTACCTGCAGCTAAGGAGGTCAGTGAGGGCATGTTGTAAAGTCTAATTACACTTTTTTTTAAACTCAACTCCAGACTGCTTTTAAATGTACACCTGCAGTAAGGTAGCATCCCACCACCACACACACATCCCAAATGCTCTTTTGGATGAGGGGTGGGATGAATACAAAATTACAAATACTTCCTTATTTCCTACTCCCTGACAACTAGCACTCTGCTTTGATGTCTTGAGTAGTGTGAAGGCCCTCACCATACTCCCCTACAATTCTGGTCCTTTATTGTGTGTTATGTCAGAGAGCTGCAACTGGCCAGAGAGTTAAGCAGTTTCATAAGAACTGGTTGCATGGATAGGAGGAAACCTGTAGGAGCAAGGAAAGAGGTAAGTATTTCTACATATTTCTTTCCCCCCTGGCTAAGCAAGCATTTACCCCATGCAATGTGGTGGGGACCCCACTGCATGGATACATTTAAAAACAGCACGGAGTTGGGCTTTAACTATCCAGTCCAGTATTTATAATACCAAAGCAGCTTTTGCTACAATACTGCAGAGGATAAACTGGCATTTAAGCAAGTCTTCAGAATGCTTGCCTCAGCTCAGTCCAGTACATGATTGGAGGTAGGGAACACGTTTATAAAATTATAAATCAGTATATGTTTTTTTTTACATTTGAAGAATTAGCCTTTCATTAGTGACCACATTATTTTTATAGCAGAATTCCGGCCAGATTTAAAATGCTGCCATGAATTCTGTTGCAATTTTTTAAATAAATACGTTAATGTTATTTTATATGCAACTGGTAAATATACCTGAATTTTGCTAGATATCAGCCTCCTGTGATACAATAGACCAGTCAGGTTCTTTCACATGTGCTAAAAAAGTGAACATGCTGACAGGATGAGAAAGCAGAGTAATAAGGTCGTCAGTGTTGTACTCCTCCCTTATTGTTCAGTGGTAGGCTGGGGTATGTCCTACAACAAAATGCATTGTAGTAGGAACAGAGATTTTTGAAAATGCAAACTTAGCTATGCTGTCTGGCATAGGAACCTGGATCACAAGAGTGGCCTCATAGAATTACAAATATTTGCCAGGCAAGACAGCAAGTTAAATTTTACATAACATTTTTTGCCTGGAATTCAGCTTTAACAGATAGATCCATGTTAAACCCAGCAAAAACATTGATATTTCAGAACACATCATAAGCTGCATTTTGATTGGCTCCTGTGCGTTTTTCCACTTTGTCCTCTGCCATACTAAATACAGAGGTCTTTGAAAAAAAAATCTACTTTTTTTTATGCAGGACAAGATAGCAAAGGCTGCTGTTGAGTCCCTGGAAAGACTTTATAACACCAGCTACAAATATGGATCCATTGCTACTACACTGTGTAAGTTTACATTGGGTAATAGGACATGGCAATAAAGCTTCTATAGTTTCTCTATACTCATAAGTTATGAGGTAGTATACACTACATCGGTTATAAGACTTGTAGCCTGACACACCTTCTAACCTTCTTTAATCATTGAATATCAGATTGCATATCACCAGCACACCAAAAGGTTCCTTAAAGCGACTCCAAATTAAAGTGCCAATAAATGTGGCCCCTGCTGCCTATCCCATCTTTTACTGGAGACTTTACACTAAAGTTGCTTTAATCCAACTTTATTGTAAGATCACTATTAATAGCAACATTGAACATCTCAGGGTCAAGCACGGTCCCCTTCATCAGGAAGACAGTGACAACTACAAATGGCAATCCATCACACTAAGTACCCATTGTATGACAGAGGCCCAACCCCAAAACCTGATATAATCTATGCCTGAACAGAAACAAAGTTTTACCCCCTTTGAGGGGATCCCACCATGACTCAAAAAGTCTTCAAAAAATGTAGTAAAACGTATGAATTTATTAGATAGTTACATATACATATAAGACAAAAGCTTGGCTAAATATGAAAAAAAAAATTTGGAAAAGAAATGTTTATTTGAAAAGATTCTTTTTTTAGTGTATATAAAATATGTGGTATATGGCCCACCTTCTGAATACCTCTATGCAATATTTAAGCCTTGTATATATTTTATACTCTATTTTGTTATCTTGGATAGAGATTTTCTTGGAAAATCGAGAGATTAAATCCTCCAGCACAGGTACGGGTTAACATACACATGTATGAAAGGGGAGAAAAAATTCCAAAAGAAAGTTCAAAAAACATTCATGTTATATTGAAAAGATCTTAAATGGCACTCACGGTAGTGTTTAGCTTTTCCTCAGAAAAAAGTGTCCGTCCACAAAGGAGTTTTTCACTTGGAAAGTGCAAGTGAAAAACTCATTTGTGGACGGACACTTTTTTCTGAGGAAAAGCTAAACACTACCGTGAGTGCCATTTAAGATCTTTTCAATATAACATGAATGTTTTTTGAACTTTCTTTTGGAATTTTTTCTCCCCTTTGCTAACCCGCACCTGTGCTGGAGGATTTAATCTCTTTCTTGATTTTCCGAGAAAATCTCTATCCAGGATAACAAAAAAGAGTATAAAATATATACAAGGGTTAAATATTGCATAGAGGTATTCAGAAGGTGGGCCATATACCACATATTTTATATACACTAAAAAAAGAATTTTTTCAACTAAACTTTTTTCAAAAAAAAATTTTTCATATTTAGCCGAGCTTTTGTCTTATATGTATAATATATGTTTGTCTGTTTTTTGATATGCGTGTATTTTTAAATTTATCTAATAAATTCATACGTTTTACTACGTTTTTTTAAGACTTTTTGCGTCATGGTGGCATCCCCTCAAAGGGGGGAATTCTTTGTTTCTGTCATAACTAAAACAGGGGACCTACCATAAATTTATATACTTAGTATTGATATGAACTATTTACTTTGTTAACCTCCCTTCCCCGTTTATATATCCATAATCTATGCCTCCAAATTCTAGTAAACAAAATTGGCATTGACCATGCTGGAAGTATGCGCGTAATAAAAGAACATGAAGGCCGGTAGGCATGCACAGGTATTCATTACAATCAATGCAAAGCATTGAGACATAGATCATGTCTCCAAATAGGACTTTTAACCTTCTATTCAGTATGCTCCGTCTGTCTTGCTGTTGATGATATTTCTTCAGTTGTGTGATGAAATCATTGTCTCCAAGACAGGAAGTGAGGGGGAAAACTAATGGAGCGCAGAACAGTATAAACCCAACAGGAGTTCTAACCTTTCCCTATTTTAGCTGAACATACACTTTATAGCTTCTATGTGCACTACAAAAACTGCCACACATTTCAGATCTCTCTTTCAAACTTTGACTTTTAATATGAACCAAAAAGCAGCCTAGAAATATTTAATATTCATTGACAGATTACAGGTGTCAGTAATAAAACGCTTCTATTGTGTGCGTATGTACTGTATATATGTACAATTTGTATTTGCAGACGCAGCTTATGGCTCATCAATTGACTGGACATATGATCAAGGAATTAAATACTCGTATGTCTTTGAACTGCGTGATGATGGGGAATATGGTTTTCTGCTTCCTGAATATGACATTGAACCAACCTGCAGAGAGACCATGCTGGCTGTAAAACAAATTGCCAGCTATCTCATTGATCTGGACACTTAGTAAAGACTTGTCTCAAACATATCGCTGTCTATTGTTCATGACTGAACTCATGCTTCAACTGAAGATTTCTTTTGCTTACATTAAACATTTAATGGCAATACTAAACTTGTAGAAGAAATTAGCACACTTTTTTAAACTTTTTCTTGAATTGCAAAAGTTACAAGCTTGCAGAAATCCAAAACATGTTAAATTCAGAATACAGAGTTGCATATTTAGCATTCAGCATATTGAAAAAATAAAATAAAAAATAAAATAAAAAAAAGTATAGAATTTAACACTCTCAGTTGAATTATTGTAAAAGGATATGTATACTTCCATAATGAAAAATATGTGCAAGTAAACATGTCATGGTCTGTCAGTGTATTTGGACCAGATTAACTCATTATCAGGCTAGGAGCAGATAGCAGATAACAGTTCAGATGTGTTGGTTATGCAAAGAGTTAAATAAACAAGTTCACATACCATGAGCAGGTCTAAGCAGAGCAGGTCAGCGGGAACTTGTAGTGCACCGCAGCAGTGGTTCACCACTGCAGATGTAGGTAGAGGTTGGCTGGTGCTTGTGGTTCACCAATGCAGATGTAACAGGAGGGTCAGGGCAGCCAAGATGTAATGCTGAGTCTGGCACTACAGTAGAATGAGGCAAAGCGTAGTCTAGACATGCCGGGTCATACACAGGTAGATCAGAGTCCAATCGGTACTTATCAGGAGCAAGCAAAAGCATGGTCAAAACTAGCCGGGTCATACACGATATATACAGCGCAGATATCAGCTGGGCCAAGCAGAAGCACACAAGGTAACATCGCTATCACAAGCATTGGTGGTATGCTGATACAGGTGATTTAAAGGTGAGCTGGCCAATCACCGTTGTTTCCCAGGCAAAGGTTGTGTCAGGTGAGTTTTGCTGGGTCTTAAAGGGATCCTAGTACTGACACTCATGTTGTAGTTAGTGTGAGACTAGATTCACACCATAAATCCCATACTTGTAGGAAATGTAATTCTCTTGCAGGGACGTGTGGTCAGGGGAGGCAGGTGAGGCAGAGCCTCACCTAGAATCATGGAGGAAAAAGCTGTCAGGTTCAAGTCTTAAGTTTAACTACAGGTCAGTTAGTTTATTATCAAAACAGGCAATCTCTAGCGAAGTGCTGGCTGTTGACTTTTCATTAAGGGTAGCCATAAAAGATTATGAGGTTATGCCTCAGGGGTGTGGACATTTTGGAAAAAACTACTTGTCCAAGGACTAAAGTGGAGGCCGAATCTACTTGTCCTTCATGACAATCTACTTGTCCTGATACAAACAAAATAATTTTAACCAAAACCGTATTTAGCAGTGCTAAGAAGCGCTCCCCATTGGTCAGTGCCGTCAGGTGACGACGTTGACCAACGAGTGCTTGCAATTTGCGAGCGAAATTCAGAATACATGGAACAGGTACAGATAGTACAGCCATACTGGTGGAGGGAGAAGGACCGTTCGCTGAAAGGTAAGTATAGTGGGAGGGAGATTTGTGCGGGTAATTCCATTTTCCCAAATTACTTGGGAAAGTGAATTTACCCTCTAGGGTGGGTGCAGACCTGCGGATTCCCGGGACGTGCGATTGTGTGCGGTAGCCTCCGCATGTATGGGGTTACATCTGGGTGGCAATCGCTGAAAAAAAAGGTACGTGTACCTATTTTCATGACGTGCACCGCGCAGTGTTTTCAACCGTGATCGTGTGGGATCGCCCGGGCGTTAATGCTGCAGGAAAACGCGCAATCTGCCTGGCACGACTGTGGTGCCATTAGAAAATAATGGCACTGACAGCACGATCGGCGGTGGTGTGCGATTCCGTGACCACCCAGCCATCCGCTCGGTTTCGTGCACGATGACCGGGCAGTCACAGATCGCAAACCACTGCCGATCGCGCTGGCAGTGCCATTATTTTCTAATGGCACCCCAGTTGTGCCAGATGCCTGGTACCTCACTTGGGTGATTAGGGCTAAGGACAATGAAGATCACAGGCCCAGATTAGCAGATATCTGTTTTCTTTGGAATGTTGAGATGGCCTAAACTAAATTTAACATATCTTTTTCAGGCAAGCCTGCTGTGGTTCGTACTAAAAGTTTCAGCAAAATGTGGCGAAGAGGGAATGTTGAAATAAATATTCAGGGACTACAACCTCATTTCCATCACAGCATTTGCAAGTGTCAGCTGCATATCATTACTCTAGTACAGCTTTCTATGAATTACAATAGTGGACCATGTTTGAGCATAACATGTGTAAGCATGGCCACTGGTATTCTCAGTCTCAGGGATGCATGTGACAGGGTGACAATGCTGGAGTACAATCGGGAGACATTTGTTAACCCAATAACAGGAAATGCCTGTTTAATGACCATCATGGCCAGCTTTTTTTATGAAAGCTACAGATTTAAAGAGATGTTTGAGGGTTTAGATCTACTTTAGGCAAGCTGTATTCTAAAGTGTATCTAAAGCCCCCCAAAAATAATATATTGTAGCTTGCCAACCCTAATGTGTGATATCTGCATTTGTTTCCTTTTCTGGGGGCTTTTCTTTCCCTTGATTTTCAAAAGGTGATCTGGCCACTAACACACTTTCTCTTTTAGGGTGGCTTCACTCTATGCAGGAACAACAGAGCTTTCCTTGGAAAGAAGCATTATCACCCTGTGGAGAGGGTAGTGTTAGATGGACTAGCAAATTTAGATAGACGTGACTAACAAATTAGATCTGAACTCTGGCTAAAACATTTTAAGCAGTTACAGCAAGTTTTTTCATCTGTGATAAAAGTTATATATAAATAAATAAACGCTAACCATTGTAACACCCTCTCTTCTCTTCAGTGTTTGTCTCAATCCTCTATCTGACATTTGTGCTGGACAGTTTGGCCTGTTAAATGAAGTTGAAAATTGACAGGCTTACTAATTGGATCACCAGGAGAAAACAAAGGAAAATAGGGCTGCAAAAGAAGACTGAATAAGAAATTGTAAATGATAAAAAAAATGCGTAACAATAGCCATAGCAGCCCACATGGCTGCTATGGGGCCTGGGGTAGGAGGGGACCCCATTATAGGTTTAAATAGGAAAATTAAACTGTAAGGTTTCCGATATTGAAGGGCTGGAGTCAGATATCAGGATCATCACACTCAAATCCCCCTCTGTGCAGTAAGAACCATTTTGTTAGCGTTCTTAGTAGTGTAGATAAAACTTAAACTACAGACTAAAGTTAACCCTGTACGCCTAATGCCATCACAAGTCCCAGAGTGTCACCTCTGTTAAAACCTTTACTTATACCTCCTCAGGGCTAACAAACTCACATGGCCTGGCACCTTACCCCCTTAACAATAATCAATTATTGACCAGTTTTACCTTTTGGGGTTCTAAGAGGCGCTAAAAGAGCTCATTGAAAATCATTAATACATATAATAAAGGACAAAAGCCATACATTGTCCCCTCAATTGGTTTACCTCAATTCAATTCACAATACTTGAATTACAGTTACATCAACAATATCCAATGTTGATGTAAATTGTGTCAACAATTGTGTCAACAATGTCCATTCATTTACATTACATTTTCATTAATGCACAATCTTTCCACTGTGGCATGCATTTTGTCCTGACGTGTTTCGCTGAAATGCTTCCTAGGGGGACCGGAAGTAATTTGTTTATTATGAACAAGAAATTAGTCCATGGTATAGAATATACTAAAACACTTGACATGCATTTTCACATCTAAGGTATTCAGTCATAGATGGCTTCTACTCACCAAGGAGTGTCAGGATAGGCAGGAGTCTTTTATCTTTTATTATATGTATTCATGATTTTTAATAAGCTGTTTAACCCAATAAATTGATGATGTTCCTAATACAATGAACTCTTTTAGCGCCTCTTAAAACCCCAAAAGGTAAAAGTGGTCTGTTAAAACCTTATCGGACGGCTGAGATTTGTAGTTCTACAAAAAAAGTGTAATGAAACTAGAGTTTAAAGAAGTTTGTATTAGGGTTGAAGCGTATATTTTGCAAGAACATTAATCATTTTATCATAATCTAAAATATAATTACGGTTAATATTATTATTATTATTATTATCAATGCAACTGTAATTTTATAAGAAATAGATAATCTGCGCTTCTGGAAAGGAGACTAAAGTGGAAATGTATAATAAATTAAGACCTAAAGCCGCTCTAGAAAGAGGATAGAGGAATCCTAAACTGTAATTTTATACCCAGCACTACTTGCTAGTAGTGTACTGACTATGCTGACAGCTCTCCTGCTGCCTTAAAACATACTTCTTGTTAGGATCAATGTCACAGTTGACACTGCCAGCCTAATCAGAAAGAGTTAGCCAGGGGGCCCTAAAGTTTTGCTGTGGGGCCCCATAATTTCTAGTTAAGCCCCTGCTAAAAATGCATTTTGGTTTGGAGAACTGACAAGTTGAATGCAATGTTAAGTGTTTTATTGAATGTTGTTACTAGCATCACAGAAAGGAAAGAAGGTATTTTTCTATTATTTTTTTTTTCTGATTTGCTGTAATTTTTTTCTAAAACTAGCTTTTGGGGTCTAATGCATGCAGGAATATCAAAGTATGTTAGCAACAAATATCCCATGCTAAAGTAAATGATTCAAAAATAAGAAATACATTGATCAGCACATATACCATATGTGTAACTAATACAAAACCTCTTTAGGGCAATGTGAGAAGGGCACTTCACCACTGTGTCTCAGAATTACATCACACTGAGCTCTGTGGTCCTTGTACACTGAATGAATGAGCGCTTTTCTAGCCCATGTGAAAAAATGATTTGCTTACCGTAGAACTGCATATAATAACATATGAACTGCTCTTCAAAAATAGGGAATCTTTTTCAATGCGTAATTTACCTAACACCTCTATCTGTTTGCACAGCAAAACGCATCAATGTAACAAATGTGACATTTGTAAAAGATAGATAGTTACACTTTGGGGTCCATTTATAAAGAAGTCACCATTCACCCTGTGAATCTCTGTGAATGTTTGTTGTGTTTGAATAGAGGAAAATACGAACATTCTTTGTATATGTTCTTTTAAGATTGAACGTATTGTAATGTAATACTGCA